CTATGTATTTTCTCCATTCATGACAAAACTAAATTTCCACCCTCAAAATTGAAACCAAAACAGCATTTAGAGAATGACCATTTTCACCTCTGCTGATTCAAGGGAAGTTATGCAATGACATTTGCGATTACTTTAATTAGCTAGTAAAACACATTTGACTCTAAAGGTATCATTAAAAATTCCCCTTTGTAGTCTAATCTAGTTTCAGAGCCTACACGTGCTTTTCTGAGTTCTCTTTCCTCTCACAAATATGTTTTTTTTTTTTTTAAATGAACTTGTTTGGCTTAGAAAAATAAGAGAATACCTAATCAGTTCTTACTGTTTCTACTTAAAAACAGGTTTATTTTCTGGGGAGCAGGGACCAACCTATTCCAAATTTGTTCTTCTTTCCTCCAAGGGAATGTAAATTTGGTGTCTAAACAATGTGGCCAGGCTAAGGGGAAACTTGCAGCTAGAACTGAGCCCAGTGCTTTGAAAATTCCCTCCTCCTTGGTTTTCCCCTGCATCGGCTGACATTTTTCAGGACAGAGCTCCTGATCTTTCAGGAATTATAGGACCCAAAGGACTGCAGGCAATTTCTTTGACTAGTAGAACCTCTTTAGAGTTTCATAACTGAGACCTGTTCTTTAAAAAAAAAAAAAAATCATCTTTTGCACTTTTGCAGTGGTTTCATTTGGCAGAAAATAGCTCTTCCAGATCTGTTACAAATTACCCATGGAGTTTAAACAGATTGAGGGCATTTTATTTGAAATGCTACTTTTCAAGTTTCTCAGCTTGGGCTGGTGCTTGTAGGAGACAAGATAGCTAAGTAAAAGTTTGAGAAATGGATGTACAGGCCAAGACCCTAGGAGGTTTAAACATTTAAAAAAATGTTTTTAGTATTCTCATATCCAGTTCATTTAAAACACTGCCATTGGATCTAAACATTTGTGGTGAATTCTCTTATAAATGCATCAGACAATGTGAAATTTCAAGCTTTTCATTTGAAATTAAAAAAAGGCTAAAATCAGGAGTGATAAAGTACATTCTCACACACCAGGATTGTCATTTTTATATCACATTTGCTCTTCATTAGAAAACAAGCTGTCTTAGCCAATAAAATAGTTCATGGTTAACCCTTGCATCTGTTTGTCCTTTGATTTTTTTGTGGGATTTTTGAGAAGATCTTGAGTGATTTCAGTCTTTCAGTTCCCTCAAATTATCAAGGAATTGAGTCACACATCAAGGACCCAAGTAAAACCCTGTGCTTCTGTTATAACTTAGCATTGTAATGGTAACGAAGGGAGAAGGTGGATAGAGATAAAATATGGAATTTCAGAACCCAGACATCACAGCCCAAATTACACAAGCATCTCTAAGTTAACATACTCTCCTTTTGTTAGTAAATGCTTCACCCCTCCTTTGCAGTTACTCCATTCATGGTACAGGTAGTTGAAGGTAAAATATTGTACGAGTCATCATGTCGGCTGCCCAAGGCATCTCTGTTCTTGGGAATAAACTTCATAATTTTAATACCGACAGTGGGCATGTATTGAGTGCCTTTATGGTACCTGGCACTTACTCAATTCTTTGTATGCATAAAATAAATTAATCCTCACAATTCTATTATCAATAGTTCCATTTTACAGATGAGGAAACTGAAGTTCAGAGAAACGAATATCATGTGGGTATCCTCCACCCAGGAGGTAGACCAGAAGAGACTTTGAAATATATACTTTTGACTTTTGTGCTCGAGTTGAGGTCGGAAGAAGTTGCCTGTCTCAGAAAATATATATACTGACACCAGTTTTTCCATTTATATTTCTGAAGGCTTCTAGGAGCATGGAGATGAGTGGGAAAATATAGCGAGCAAGGTAGGCAGAGAGAACTATGGCCTCAGTGCTCTACATGCTCTGCCTCCCTTCCAGCGCCTCCCAGCTAGACAACTCATCTCCCATACATTTTTTCAGACTGATCTCAGGCTAGCATCGTTCAGGAGAACTCCCTGTCTCATCAACTCAACCCTCGCTACTCTGCACCTGCCTTGTTTGAATCATAGTCTCAAACTATACTTGGTGTGTGGCTTCAGAAACAGCTTCTTGTTTAGTTTACATCACTTCTAATTTGCAGTCAGAAAATATGTTCCTTAAGAGTAGATGTCAGGGCTTCCCTGGTGGCACAGTGGTTGAGAGTCCGCCTGCCGATGCAGGGGCCACGGGTTCGTGCCCCGGTCCGGGAGGATCCCACATGCCGCGGAGCGGCTGGGCCCGTGAGCCATGGCCGCTGAGCCTGCGCGTCCGGAGCCTGTGCTCCGCAACGGGAGAGGCCACAACAGTGAGAGGCCCGCGTACCACAAAAAAAAAAAAAAAAGAGTACATGTCAGATCTTCTATTTCCGTTGCCTTCGCCTGCCCCCAACCACTCTCCCCAATGCTTAACCCTGGACTTAGAGCAGTAATTGTGAAATACGTACTTTCTTCTGTGTGATTATTCTAGGTCTCAGCCAAAAGGAATGGGTTTGAGTTCTGGCAAAATGAATATGTGCTATAATTTAATTTTTCCATTGGAAGTGTAAGGAAATAACACATCTTACATGATCTTTTAGAAAAGGCAGGCAATGTTCTGGCTTTTGTGGAAACTCTGCAAAAGGCAGAATACTCTCCACCCAACAAAGAATGAAGAGGCACCTGTTTTTTCAGAACAGTTTTCTTATTCAGAAGCCTATTGAAAAACAACTTGTACAAAGTCATTAAGTCAACACGAATTGAAGGTTTTCAAAACTTCTGGGCTTAAGTCTATCACTTTGTGAATTTAGAAAATTCATTACCATTTTTAATCTTCTTTTATGTTAAAAATCCAGGCAAATTTAATCAACTTTCTCCCTTTGTCTCCCCCCTGGCCCACTACTAAAAAGAGAATTTTTTTTTTTTAATTAAAAGAAAAGAAAAGAAAACACTCCTTGCTACCAGTTTCTGAGCCAACAGAATACTCAAAGAATATCAGTATTATGAAATACTAGAAAAGGGATTTTACATTCTGGGATGAGTGTTAAAGCTTCTGCTTTACTTCTAAATAAAGTTGAGCCAGGACTCATGTAATTAATCTGCTGAGTTTCCTGAAGATATCCTCTACTATCTGGGGAAAAAAAGTATTTCCTGTATCAAAAGCATTTTTAGTAGCTCTTCTAGTGAAAACAGAATGGTCAGTTTTACTTCCCAGTCCAATGTGCCAAAATTGCTGGGAAAGTTTTTTTCTCATTGTTTCAGCATTAAGTCAACATTTGAAAAATGGATACTTTTTTTTTTTTTTTTAATTCAAAGGATTAATATCCAGGTCATGGGTAATAGAAATCTCACCAGCTTTGGTGCATTGAGCTTATGAAATTGAAACAAGTGGCTCTATTCATTATTAATAAAAATATATGGATGTGTTTAAACTAAATATCAAAGTCCTGGTTGAGTTTTAGGGACCAAGTGACTCCGTGATATAAGGCCCCCTTGCTGCCCTTTTATGATTTTCCGCAAAGCTCTTCACACAATTTACAGCCTTGTAATCAGTGGGGTCCTATAGATCAAGGTGTAAGGAGGGTAAAATATGTTTTGTTAAACAAAAATTGTGAAACACTCCATTGTGGCGTGTAAATTATTATTTCTTCCCTACTTTTCTGCTTTCAGATTTATAGCATTTATCTGACACTGTTTTTGTATAGAAGAAAATCCAGTTATTTACATGTATTTAAGAGAGAGCTGTGGCGTAAAAAATATCTTCACTGAGATATTAAACCCTTGAACCCAACAGCACAGCTGTCTCTGAGGGATGTGGTGTCTGTTAGTTGTTAGTGCATTAAAAGGAAGTATCTCCACAATGTATTTGTACAGGAATTAGCAAGGTAATGGGCACATTTGTTAAATGCATCACATAACTAAATAGTTAACTTATTTTTATTGCAAAGAAAACTGGACAGGACAAACAACAAACTTTTCACTTGTGAACCTATTATTTTAAAATAGGAAAACAATTTTTCCATATTTGCCAAACCTTATTTGGATTCACTGAAAATCAGGTAAATTATTTGCCCAGTGCTCTACATTATTGGATCCAAATGTTTGGAAATGTGGTTAATTTTAGGCTTTGCATATATAAATCATAAAATACATGAAAAGAGTATTTTCTTGTTAATCCAACATTCTGGATCTCTTCCTAACATGGGATGCTGTATTGACATTAACTTGAATGGGTGCCACTGGTTGGGAGTTAGATAAGAAATGGGAAAGGGGAAATTGGCAAAGAGATCTTCATTGTCATGAATTAATATTTAAGAGATGGTTATGAAGAGACAAGTCTGTCAGAGTGTGAGAGGACTAACACTAAAAAGAAAGTATTTTCAATTACTTCAGAATTATTTCACATTATTAATTAATAGTAATACTACATACATCAAAATATCCTTTGTTAAGTCTGTCTTCTCTGTTAGGCTAAGTACCTTACTTGCATAATATCATTTAATCCTAGTAAATAATTCTATAAAACAAATATTATTCTCCCATTTTGCAGTGAACAAACGAAGTCTTACATTTCTATAAATCATTCTCCATAGGTTTGCTTTTTTTCTTTTTAAATTTTTAATTTACTTTTACTCTTTAAATTGAAGTGTAGTTGATTTACAATATTATATTAGTTTCCAGTGTACAGCATAGCGATTCATTTTTATAGATTATACTCCATTTAAAGTTATTATAAAATAATGGCTCTATTTCCCTGTGCTGTACAATATAACCTTATTGGTTATCTATTTGCTTCATAATAGTTTGTATCTCCTAATTCCATACTCTTATTTTGCCCCTCCCCTTTACCTCTCCTCACTGTATCCAGTAGTTTTGTTTTCTATATCTGTGAGCCTGTCTAAAAGCATAGACGTTTCAATAAATGATGCTGGACATCCACATGCAAAAAATAATGAATCTAGTCACAGACCTTACACTTCTCACAAAAATCAATTCAAAATAGATCATAACCTGCTGTATTTCCATAGTGTAGCGGTTATCACGTTCGCCTCACACGCGAAAGGTCCCTGGTTCGAAACCGGACGGAAACAAAATAGATCATAGATATAAATGTAAAATGTAAAACTATAAAATTCCTAGAAAATAACATTGGAGAAAATTTAGGTGACCTTGGGTTTGGTGATGACTTTTTAGATACAAAACTAAAAGCATGATTTATGAAAGAAATAATAGATAAGTTGAACTATTTTTAAAAAACTTTTATTGGAGTATAGTTGATTTACAATGTTGTCTTAGTTTCAGGTGTAGGTGTGCTTCTGAATGGAGAAGGCCAGAACTGCCCCTCGTCAGAGCCTGAGTTGTTCATTGTCGTCCTGCCACAGCTTTGGCCTCTGAACTTCATCCCCACATGATCCTGTTGTTTGGCATTTTTTCCAAATTTTTCTAATAAACGAAACTGGTTTAACTTTTGTTGTTGCTTCTAGAAATTCACCTAAGAGTCTTTACATTCTTCAATGGAACAATTCTTGTTAATGTTTAACATTAGTGTCCTTTCTTTTCAGAAGATAAGCTATCTGACTGGGGGTCAAGCTTTCCAAAATTTATGTGAGTTCAGTTAAATTATTCTTGAAGGTAAATTGGAGTAAAGTGGAATCTCTGGTTAATTTTACAAGATAAGGCAGGAAGGGGCTTTGGATCAATCAAGTATTTGCTCTTCTTCAGTTTCAGTCATTGTGCTGGGCAATTTATTTAAACTTCAGAAAAAGCTGGTTAGAATGGCTACGTGAATCCCATTCAAGAGAAAACTTACATTCAGAAAAATAGGCTTGAAGCTGCCTGCATGAGGCTAACCCAAGATCATCTGATAGTGGGGCCCCTTCTGCCTCATGTTCTCCTTCAAAGCAAACCCAAAGACACATATATCTTAGATTATTTATCTTTTTGTCCCTTGGGCCTTTTCAATGTCTTGTCAATCCACTCAGTACTTCAAGCATTGCAATCTTGCTTTCTTAATAGATGAGGCAAATACCAAGAGTTTATTACATGGGAAGGATAATAATGATTGATAACATTAGTATTCAGGAATTGATTTCACAAAACTAATATACTTTTTCCTTTTGGTTGAAAAGTTATTAGAAATCTAAAGGCCTTGCTGAACAAAACGTTGGAAAGATAGAAGTGTTTTTATAATTAAGCCATAGTGCTTTGATTTTATGTTAAATAGTTTAGTGAAAACTGAAATGCAATATGTACCAAAATGAATCTTTTTTCCCAGTGCTGTAGCCTATCATATTTCATGTCTGTTTAACTTTGAGACATTGAAAGAAAATGAACAGAAATGCAAATATACTCCGTAATGATTATGTTTTTCTTTTTCTCCATATATTCTCTGCCTCTCCATAAAGACGACATAATTTCATTAATTAACACAAATGGTCATAAAACACACCACTTGCCAGTGTTATTCCCAGTTAATGTTTCTATAATGTTGCGTAATGTGAAATTTTTGCACAGCAATACTCAGCCAGGACTGTCAACAGCTGAATTACCATGTGTTGGCAGTATCTGTTAAAACTCGATCAGTGTACATCCTGTGAATAAGATGTGTGAAGCATGTAATAAAAGAAAGATGACCTATCCTAGATAAAATACATTTACTTCTCACTTCTGCTGTTAGTAATAGAATTTAGCCTACCTTACAGTAATTTAAATCAGTGCCCTAAGGCACTGAATAATTAGGTATTTCCCTACCTCATAACAAAAGGCCCTGACATATTTTTCTTCTGTTCGTTCTGTGCCTTTTGCTATTTTATCGTTTTTTGTAAAAAAAAAAAAAAGCCTTAAAAGGGGATAGAATGAAATGGATTGGTTCATATAAAGCTTATAGAAGCCATTTATGAAATCATTGTCCCCAGAGTTAGCATGAATCCTGTTTACCTCAAATATCATTACCCTCTTTGCCAGGAACACTGACAAGCTGAATAAATATATAAAGGGGGAATCTTGGAAGTGGGTAGACAGACTGGTGACTCATGAAGGGGTCAGAGCCTTTGCTATTTTCTTAGAAACAGATCTCTTTCCCTGGCTGCCATGGGGAGGAAGTGATGATGGAGAACGGTCAGTTCCAGAGCGATGTGGTGGAGGCAGCTGGAAGGTCAAGGGTTAAACATGTGCTATCTCAGCTATGCTGGGTGCAATAACAACATCAGGCACCAGAGAATGATCTATCAGGGCAATTAGTCAAACAGGCCTTGTGGTAGCCCAGATAGGTCTGGCTCTGTTTGCATCTGTTTATCAGTCTGAGATAAGAATCCTGTGAACCTTTTTGTTACCTTGAGAAAGTAGACACCTGGAAGGTAAACATAAGACAACAGTATCTTTAAAAATTGATTTTGAAAAATGACTACAGCTCCTAGATAGGATTAAATAATCTTTATTTCTGGCTGTTAAAAAGAAGATGAAAAAGAATTTCTTTGCTTGTTTTTTTTCACCTACTTCTTAGTCTATTATCCCAAGAGCAGACGTTACAGAATTGGACTTCTTTTGATCAGATATGGAACTTGGCCCAGAAGCCCTAGGAAGTGGGGAAGATAATTTAGATTACTGTGGTTTTTCTTTTTTCCCCAAGATTTTCCTGTAAATACCACGCTTTGCTGTAGTTCATAAACTGACCTAAGCAATTAAAACATTTGTCTCTCTTCGTTCACATTGGCCTGATTTCTCATCTGATTTCAAACTCCTAAAGGACACTGACAAAATCTTTCTTTTGTCCTGATGTGATCATACCAAGTCACACAAGAGTCAGAAACTTTTGAAGGGGATTTCATAAGAACTATCTTACGAAATTGATCTGTAAATTTAATTGTAGTAAAAAACAGAATTGGAACTTTTCCAGGTGATAGTGAAGATTTATTTTGAACAACAATTTGCTATGCCCTGAATATGCATAGTCACACCTCTGTACCTTTGTTCATGTGTTTCCCTGTGACTACAATATTATTCTATTTCTGTCCACATTGCCATGAAACTGGATTCTCCCCAAAGCATATCCAGAAGAGGAACATGCCTAGGTCTTCAACAGCAGCAAGACAATTGATGGGGGATTTTTGTACATCTTTCCTAACCCAATTTGGATTTAATTTATGATCTAATGGTCCCATCTGGTGTTACAATTTCTGGTTATCTTCAGATCTAGTTTCTTAAGTAGTACCCACATTCCATTTTTCCAGGACAGCAAAGCATACTTGAATAAGAAGAGATTCTTTTTTCCAACTTCTCATTTATCCTGCCCTAAGAAAAGCCAAGCCTAGGAGTTAGCTACCCAGATGTGTGCAAGAACCATTTTTATTTCTGTGACAGAAGCTATCTATGTGACTTCGGGGAATTTATTTAATCTCTCTGAACTGCACTTGTTCTCCATGTATAAATTGAGAATAAAGGTAGGACCTGTTTCATGGGGTTCTTGTGTGGAATCAATGAAAATGCATGCAGAGATGCCTCACATGGTGTTTAGAATACAGGAAGCACTGTATAAATGGCCCTGCTGTACCCACCATGCAGTACCTGTTTAGCAGATCCATTGACCTAGAGGTAGATGAACTGCCTTATGCTGTGGATATTCTAAACCCAAATTTACACTATGGCAAAAATAACATGGTTTCTATAATAATTAAGATTATTTTATCAGATTAAAATTTTAAAACTTTTTCTAATAGACATTACCTTTAGACCATTTTTAGGTTTATAGGAAAGCTGAGTAGAAGGTAAAGAGATTTCCCATAAGCCCCCTGCCCCTATACATGCATAGCTTCCTCCATTATCAACATCTCCTACCAGAGTGGTACATTTGTTACAACTGATGAGCCTACACTGACACATCATTATCACCCAGAGTCCATAGTTTATGCTAAAGTTCACTCCTGATTAAATTTCTAGAGTGTTGAGTACAAACTCAGTGGTATCTAGCCATTGATTCAATTATTTATTATTGTTTCTATTTAGCAAATTTACTTTTCCCTAAACTGTGACATTTATTGTGCTAATAAGATACGATCTAGGTCTGTAAGGGCTTTATAATCTAGCGTTTATCATTTTTATCTAAAACCTATTATGTTTAATTCATTTCTGTAAAGGGCATGCTATTCTACCACCCATGTGGAACACACTTCTACCAGACCTGTGTCTTATAATTGCACTTACAAGGACTATGACACAGAGGTTTCTGCCAAAATATAAAAGAATGTGTTTTCTGAACCTTACTATTCATCCCTACAGTAAAAATGGAAGAAGGCAATTTAACTCACAACTCTGATAATTTGTCATTGCAAAGCATTTTAAATAAGACCCTTCAAAAGATCATCTAGAAGATGCTTGTCTTCATTTGTAAGTTATTATTAGATTCTGAGAATACATCAAAGGCCAGCTACAACGCTGTCTGCTTTAGCACAGAATTTGGGATAATCAGATCTGTTTCGGCCCTCAGATTTTCATTCAGAGTTATTTTTTCCAGAACAGGCCCCATTATGAAATTGTGTGCTGTCAGCTTCACTCTGGATATAATAAGGACCCTGAAGACACTGAGGAAGTGAGTCTGAGCAAGGACAGGGCACCTGTGTGGATAGACAGTAGTTTTCAGGTCTGAACCTGAGTTAGCCAGGCCAAACTGGGCAAGTCTTCCATCCACAGGAGATCTGGTACCTGTCTTTCCAGAGCCAGCTGTCTTTTGGGAAGTGGGGTAGGAGTGGGGCAGATAGAATATAGGGTTGGGGAGCACAGGGTCAACACAGTGAGATCACAGCTTCCCTCACCCTCTTTCTCAGTGGTCCCCAATGTGACACACTTCCTTCTACCATGAGCTCTTTGACATATTCCTCTGAGTCTGCAAAGCAAGCCTTCCCTTTCACTTGGTTAAATAACTCTCCTTTTCAATTCTCATTAATTAAAGGGGACTCTCTTGATCTTCAGACTAAATCTGGTATTCTTGTGTTGTTCCATAGTTTGTTATGGTATATTAATATGATTATTTAATGAATTCTTGTTTCATCCGGTAGAGTAGGAGTTCTCATGGCCCAGGTCTTAAGTCTCCTTGGCT